TTTCTTCCTTTCTAATGACCTGGGGGTGCCAGTGGGGTCCAGGATGCCAGTCCACACCCAAACAAGTACACCTTCCTCAGGGTTACTCCAAGGTGCTGCTGGGAAGCACCAGAAGCTGAGCTCCACCATCACTGAAGCGCAGGTGGTGGTGCCCGGGAACAGGGTGAGAGCCAGAGAGAGAGACGGAAACTGCAGAGAGGAATTTAGGAAGTCTAAGCCCTGATAAGGATCCTCAGGAGATCTGGATTAAGCAAGAATCCTTTTAAACACAGACTCTCAGTACAGCACATGCTAATCCTAGATTATGTTTAACAGAGGAAAAAGAAAGAATAAGGGAGGTTTCTTCAGCATGACTTTCCCTCCAAAAGAACTCTTTTGAGTAAGCCATTCAGAAAGAAGCAAAAATAAAACAAAACAAGATTCTCTAAAACCTGATTATCAAAACCCACAAAAAGAAAAACAATGTGCACTTTTAGTCCTCACTACCTTAGGGCATTCCAGACGTGCACAGCCTTTACGTTTCTGTTCTAATGACATCAAACTTCTCCATCCATTCCAACAGCAACCAAGGGGCTTTCACGATCACCCTACCCAGCTGCTGCTTCTTGGATGTCATCTGGTTTCTTTCTCTGTGCAGACCACCCCGTGTTGTAGGCCTCACATCAGGCCTGCAAAGCTCCTCCTGGTACACAGCCCTGTCCACTGTGTCACCCTTTCCCGGCCCACAGCCTACAGATTTAGAGCATTTCTTTTTATGCAGCATAAGTTGTCCCATTAATACATTAAATGTGCAATGGTCCCCTTCCCATGAGACTAAATTTACTAATGTAGAAATTGATGTTGGTTGTGTCACGGCCTCCCTGCCAACACCTCGATGAGCAGCATACCCAGCGCACTTCATAAACTATGCAAAGGGCCTTGTGCTGCATACCAGCAAGGAGGGCCAGATGAGATTGACGGCAAAAGATAGTCAGCAGCGAAGTCCTCAAGCAATCTCCTTGCAATTTACAGAAAGACAGTAATAAGAGCCAACCTGTCCAGAGGGCGCTACTAAACACCCACATGCTGCTTTTGTGCTAAGTGGTTTCCCTACTGTAAAGAAGACTAAAATAAACATTTTGTACCTCCTGCCTCTGTTCCCCAGCCGGGTCTGCACGGCCAATGAGTTGCCAGTTTGCATGGCTTCACACACGCTGGAAAAAAGCAAGTTCTCCTTGGCCCAAAGAAACTTGAATGCCAGCCCGTTGGTCTCTCCTTCAAAATGAGCAGATCTCCTAAAGCACGGGCCCGCGAGGGGTCTGTGTGTGAGTGAATTCAATTGCTTAGCCCGGAATTAATTAAGAGATCTTTGTAAAGGCCAGAAAAGATCTCACAACATTACAGCTTTTATTTTTCTTAAGTCACAAGAATTACTGAAGAAAGTACACAGACTCCTTTTTCTACTTGATTCTGGGTCTGGGATAAAAAAAAAAGCCAAGCAATTCTTTGGGTAGAGAACAGAGTGTTCAATAGAGAAATCCCTTCATTTTGGTTTGGAGACTTTTTTTTATCTGCTAAAAGCTGTGGGCCATAAGTATTGACATAATTTGAGCTTACATTAATCATTTTAATCTTTATTTATTATGTACTACGTTGCCAAAACAAAACAAAGCTTTATAAATTGCAGCTCTACCACAGGGAAAGAAATAAAAGGTCAGTTTTCTAGAGTTCCCATCTACTTGAAAAGAAATCTAAAGCATAAATCTTTCTTAAATACACTGATTAGCAATACCTCTTGCTTCATCACTGAAAAGATGCTATATTATTATAATTCTTTTAAATCAATAATTTTACAGTGAAGTGATGAAATGCGGAAAATTAAAGATACTATTGGAGAAGGCATCGAGCTGTGTAGGTAGCATGATCATTTCTGGAGGAGCAATGGTGAGCAATGGCTTCACCAAGCTGGGGGGTCTGTGCTCAGACTTGGGGGGTCACTCCGTGGTGGAGCATACAGCTTGCACACCAAAGGCCCCGGATGGAATCCCTAGGTTCCCAAGGATAAAAGGAAAGGGAAGGAAAAAACCTGGCATACATGATTCTTTTAGAACTCCGTAGCTCACCAAGGGACTTAGCATGTGTGATGCCATTCAGTTTCAAGAGCAACCCCTGCGGAGTAAGCAAGGTCATTCTCAATTTCCAATGAGAGACTGAGGGCCCTAGATAAAAAAGGCATGTTGCGCTCAGGGCAAAGCAAATGGAATACAGCATTAGCATTTGGGATTTCACCCTGCCGGGCACTATGGTTAGCATTGCACAGGAGGACTCCTGATGTCCTTGCTCCAGTCTTTCCTAAGTAAAAACTGAATTTCAGAGACTCAATAGCTTGGCCAAAGTTACAAAGCTGCTATAGCCAGGACTGTCCAGTTCAGTCCAATTGCCCTATTGTGGTTTACGGTGTTTCCCAGTTAGGGAGTATACTGCAGTCATTTGAAATGTAGGATTTGTTTTATATTTTTTTCCTTGTTTTCACTTTTGCTGCTAGGAACTGAGCCAAGGGCCTTGCAATTGCTGGGCAGGCACTGCATAGCTGAGCTACGCGCCCAGCCCCAAACCCAGGGTTTCTAATCCTGAATGCTACTTCTTCCATGCAATCCTTTCTGAACAGCACCATCTCCAGCCCCGCGCAGAGCAGAGAGTCCCTCCTATAATTACTGTACTGCTTCACTCTATCTCAAGTACTTAATTATTCCATTAATTTCATACTACTTTGCATTCCTGAAAAACTGGGTCATATCTTTAGTTTATAACTTGTTTCTTAGATCTTATTAGAAAATCAATAAGTACAATAAATACTTACCAATTGACTAGATGAATAAAATCAGTATTTTTTATTATGTATTTGAGAATGCCAAAGTGTACTATATATTTCTTTTATTATTATTATTATTATTATTATTTTATTTATTTATTTTTGGAGGAACCTGGAATTGAACTCAGAGCTTTGCACTTGCCAGGGAAGTGCTTATTCTACTGAGACATCTCCCCAGCATTTTTTTTTTTTTTTTTTTTTTTTTTTTTGTGGTACTGGGGATTGAACTCAGGACCCTGCACTTGCCAGGTGGGCACTTATTCTACTGAGCTATCTCCCTGGCCCAAATATTATACAAGTAAGACAAAATATCACTCCTGGCACAAATGATTTTTAAGAATTGACTGAAATAACAGAGGAATTGCAAATATGATAAAGGCTTCTTACTACATGATACATACCAAACCATGATACATAGGGATTTCTAAAAATTCACATTCAATTTAAAGTTGCACATCAGATAGCTTTAGTTATATCAATGTCTTTTCTGCATACATTGTATGATCTAATTCTTCATACTCAATTCAGATTCTTACCTTTATAAGCATTTTTTGTTGTGTTTTTATTTTTAATTTTTTCAATCCTAAACTCAGAAACTGAACAATGGAGATTGCTCTTCTGCAGTGTCTTTTAAATTAAAAAGAGGATTTTGAAGGCAGAGCCCAGGATTAATGACTCAAGAGACAACATGAAGGACAGAGGCTGATTCAGGGTTTCAGACTCCACTGGGTTATGGCTGCAAAGACATCTGTGCCCCCAAGTTCTTCGTTGGCATTTTTAAACATCTTTAATCTCAATCCTCTATCCTTCTCTTCCCCCTACCTCCATGCTTAAATTTTCAAAATGTTTCAATTCTTTTTCAATCTCTGTGTTGCACAGAGCTCCTTGTCATAGTGGGAAAATGAATCAGAGTGGGCATCCTAGAAGCGTGAGGGGTTCCCTTCTGGGTGCAAGGTGGCTTCCCCCCACTGAGCACGGCTCTGGAAAGCTGGGCCAGGACCCATGCTCTCCAGTACGTCAGACTCTGCCAGCAGGTGACCACCTCATTTTCTAATGAAACCGAACTCAAACCCTGAGTCAGCACAATAAGGATGCAATTATCTGCTAAACAGAGTGACCAACACACCTGTAATCAGAGACAATCAGGTTTCCAACATTCTGGCATTCTCTTTAAATTGTTTCAAGAAGAACTGACACTTATACAATGCTTGAGGTCAGCCGTACGTTTGTATATAAACAAATAAAGGCCGGAAAAATAGCTATTGGCTCTACCAGTAGTTCACCAGGAAAGCTGTCGTCCATATCAACAATAATCAACCAAACCTTTGATTAGCATCAACTTGCTTTTTCACTATGAAAATATTAGTTTAAATTTCAATGAATTAAAGCCCCATCCACCACAACTTTCAATAAATGTTTTGCTATTTTCAGATCTAAGCATGCACATCAAAAGAATGCAGTGAACTCTAAGTCCACTTTGCAAAGACCCTTTCCAGGGTAGGCCCTTGACTTGGAATGCAACCAACCAGACACTATACCTCCTTCTGATCCTTGGGACACTTAACTAAGTTTTCATAGCAATCTTTATCAATACTGGGAGCAAAAGATCAGAAAACTAAAATTTTATGCAAAGATTAAAACATCAGAATTTATTTTGAACATTGACACTTCGTTTACAGTATAGGAATTACAAAATACCTGGAGTTTATGGATAAGCCTTTAATAAGATCATTTACAACAAAGGGGTCACAGACAAGACAGGGAGAAATTTCTAGAAGTGGAGACCAGACAAAGCCAGCTCACTCAAAGAACTCAGCATGGCCGATCTACTCTCTCCCAAGAAAGAGATGAGGGGATATCAGGTATCAGAGTGGCCGAGGAACCACATTTTGTTATGATGAGTAAAGTAGAGGTAGGCTTTCTGTAACAGCTTCTGATTTCCATTCCAGTGTTTCACATCCGTGCTAAGTGAAATTAAACCATATGAAACAGATAGGAGGAACACTAAAAAGCATCCCCAGAAAGAAGACGTTGTTCTCTACACAACTAAGATAAGTAAATTGGTGGAGCAAAGGTCAGGCCGATGAACTTAACTTGTAAAACTGGACTACCACTCTTCCAAACAAAATCATGAAAGAATTCTCCTTACCTGTTTTGATATTGATGGCAAAAAAATTCTGTGGATTCCCACTTGTAATCCTGTATGTCAATTTTTCATTGGAGATGGAGTCAGGGTCTTCAGCTTGGATCTGAATGACAGATACATCCTTGGGTGAGTTTTCCATGACAACAGGATAATAAATTGGTTCCGAGGTCAGGGGGGCATTGTCATTCACATCTTCAATTTCAATGTAGACCTCAATGGTGGAGTAGAGAGGAACAACGCCCCTGTCTGTGGCATACACAGTCAGCCAGTAGGACCCTGTTGTTTCTCGGTCAAGAATGTCTGCGGCAGTGATGACCCCTATGAGAAAAGGAAGAGAGCATGACAGCTATGGTGGAGCACAAGGCAGGAAGTCAGTCTCCCCAACTTCCAAAGGGCTGCCCTGAACAGGCTGGGCATATGGAGATTAAGTTGTTCCTCTTTATATAAGAAAATGGTTCTTCTTCAGGACTGTATTAGCTTGCTCACAAACCATTCCTTTGAATCTTGAAGGCAAATGAGTCACATACACATGAACACACACACACACACACACACGTATACATGCACTTGCACACTTAAAAGAAGAGAGCAGGTGGAGAAATGGGGTGGGAGTGGGGCCAAGGGTCAGCAATCACAACACTTCCCATGTAGCGTGGGAAATCAATGCACAATTCAGTATCTCCATGTGACCCAATACTGATTTGATTTCCTAAACAACAAAAAACTTTTCTAGGGTAAATTAATTTATCTGTTTATTCACAAAAATGAGAAAGACCTTTTGAATGTTCTTTTGACTATTATGGTGGAAAATGTTTTGCTTACAAGGATGTAAGCCTTCTCCATGGCATCTCGTTGTAAACCAAATACCACAGTTATTTGTCCTATGCAAGTTCCTTGCCACTCCAGTGCTACATAGAAAGTCCTGGATAAACCTTGATATACTTTGACAGACACTCATGGATACTCAGAGGAGAGCTACACAAAATGCCCCATCTGCTCCCTCACCTCTTTCCCATTTTGTAGTAACACCAATCAAGTGTCTGCCAGAAGAGGCAAGAGAAAAGAGTGTTTCTGTCTCTGTTTTCAGCCTTCGCCCAAATCACCCGGCTGCAAAAATTTACCACTGAGACAGACTCATAAGCAACATCCTTCAGGATGGAAAATTCTGGGTTCTGCTTATAAAATCTTTAAAAGCAGTCAGGACACTTAGCAAGGCATGAAATTCACATACATTCTTATAGTCTAAAAGTCTTCAGTGAAAAGTATCCTAGTCTTCTGTATTTCTACTGCACTTTTATGTAAATTTAGCATACAACTTTGCCTCTAGAGCAGGCAAAC